ATAATAAAACTACAGACAAAGGGAGGAGACCAATTTAAACAGGATGAATGTTTGTTCGGTAGATCCATGCTAATGGGCAATTTCAGATGGTTTGAAATATTAGATATAAGGAAGAAATTCTTCACTTTGAGGTTGGTGAGACCTTGGCACAAGCTGCCCAGAGAAGCTGTGGGTGCCTCATCCCTGGAGGCCATCAAGGCCAGGCTGGACGGGGCTTGGAGCAACATGGTCTGGTGGGAGGTGTCCCTGCCCAGGGCAGGGGGTTGGGACTAGAGGATCTAGTCCTTCTCCTGTGGATGATGAGGATGATTGGGGGAACTGATGGATGAAAAGCTCAACATGAGCCAGCAACATGCGCTTGAAGCCCAGAAAACCATTCGCATCCCAGGCTGCACCAAGAGAAGCGCGGCCAGCAGGTCCAGCGAGGTAATACTGCCTCTGGTGAGACCTCACCTGGAGTTCTGTGTCCACCTCTGGACCCTCAGCACAAGAAGGACGTGGACCTGTTGGAGAAGAGTCCGGTGCCAGCCACAAAATTTTAATTCTGTGTTTTCTGCTGACCCCTGCTGGCCCTTAGCAGAAGGGGACTGAGGGCGTTGTGCAAAACTTTCCGGCCGAAATGGCTTTCACAACCTCGGAAGTGATTATGATTTGTAACTATCCCATGGGATGATGACACCATCAGGCAATAACGCCAGGAGTTTGGCACGCTCCTGCCCACCACCAGAGGATCCCCGCATGTGCCGTCATCTTCGCTGGATCCGAGGGTAGTGATCTCTCTTTCCTTATCCTTTTCTCTTTTTTTTCTTCTAACAAAAAGGTATCTGTGACAAAGCTGGCTTTTCACAGGTGGTTCTTTGTCGTGAGCCACATCACTGTGAGCACTAAGCGGGCAGCGGAGGCCCATCCTTATTAGTTATTAAGATTCGTTGTTGTGGATAAATGGAAGCGGCGTTAGGATCCCTGGTGTTTATTCACCTTAATCCTGGCCCAGGAATCGGCGAATCTAAGTCATCATCCTGAAAGCTCGGGACATGACAAACTGGTGTTTAATCTCCAGGTAGAGGTAAGTGGTTGTGTGTCTCCCAGTACCCTTCCCATCCCCTTCTTGTTATTTCCAGGTACAGTTCATCAGTGTGCTCTCTCTCCTAAAATGCAAAACTACAACGTGGCCTGATGGCGTGTGTGGTGTGGGTTATAAGCTGCTCCAACCCGTGAAATCTGGGGACAACCCTGGAAAGCTGAAGGTCTGGATTTGCTAATTTTTTTAAGATGGAAATAAGCAGCTCCATTGCAGTCACTTGATATACAGCTGCGGATTTTCCAATGAGATCAAAACGAGGGTTCTGCTCCTAAAATGATGCCAGCCCTATATACAAGTGGTGAGCCACATGCTGAAAGCCTGACTCATTCTTTATCCAGGGCATTCGCATGGTGCCTTGCAGATCAGGAACATGGAAATAATCCATTACTTACAGAAATAATAGTTCTCCGCCCCTAATCCAAACTGAATTGCGTTATAGCCAATTAACATTTGTCATCCAGGAGCTGATTTGCCCACAGAGGCCTTCGTCATGTCGGTGTTTCAGGTCTAGCTGGAGATGATGAGGAAAGAAAATTTTCTATCCAAAGGCAAAATGTGTATGGGATTTCTGAGGAATATGGGCTTGAGAGGCTCAAGAGACATGGAGAAAGTTGAAGAAGTTTAGAAAATGCCTGGGACCCCATGAGATATCAGGAGGTGATGCAGAAGGTATGAGAGGGGCAGAGGGGACAAGTGAGGCAGAGAGAATAAGAGGAGACAAGGAAATCTCAGTCCAGCATGGGTCATCTGCCTTCACCTTCCCGTTCCTACTGAATTTTTGAGACGAGGGGGACCGCAAGCTGTGGGCTCGCTTACTGTTTCCGTCAGATCGGAGAGGTTGCTACGCTGTCTCGTGTTTGCAAGCACCTTCTTTGGATAGGGGCTACCACGGAGGGTCTGCACTTTACTGAAAAGGACTGACTCCACCTAAATTTGCTGACTTTTGAGGCTTTTTGCAGTTGGCTGTGGGGGTCGTATCCATTCTGTCCCTCTGTTGATGGCAGCGCAGGTAAACTTTATCGTTAAGGCAATTTTAAGCAATGAGACAAGGTTTGGTTAGACAAGATTCATTTCACCTTCCACTTGTTAATGCGTCACCGGGCTGCCGGTGACTCATTGCGTGATACCGCATCCTCTTAGGACCACACCGAGAGCATCCCCCAACCTGCCCACATTAGTGTGCCAGGGCCCGGAGAGCTTTAATTGCCCTGACAGGGCTCCTACCCACACACCCTCCGCCCCTTGGCACTGGAGCCACTGCATTTAAACCGAGACTATTTTTTTTGGTCCTTCTTTGAGCTGCAGTGGACATCTTTGCTCCAGACCTGCTGTGTGTGACCTCCCCAAGGATCTGGACTCTGGCTGTCCTGGTCGGTGCCAGCAGACCTGCTCCAATCCAGCTGCGTGGTCCTTGCGGTGAGCTCTTGAATGAAAAACCCCCCTTGCCTTGCTGTCACCTTTGGCTTCTGGCTTGTTGACCTTCTGGCTATGGCAGGAGAACACGGTGCTGGAGGGTTCTGAAGCCCCTTCGGTGGGGATTAGGAGTGGGTATGAAGGTTTGGATTAAATGCAGTGGGTGGAGACCCCACATGAGCCCTATCAGGGCACTTGGAGCTTCTTCATGTATTTTAGATCCTGACATCATGTTTGGCGGGATCTCCTGGCAGCCTTTAAATCCATGCGAGATGTGGCATGAGTAATGAAGCAAGCTATAATTTCACCTGAAATTAAACCTGTCCTTCCTGTTTTCAAGGAGTCAATCCGCAGGAGGGTGATGAGGACAGTCTGTCAGTTCTTTATGAAACATTGAAGGCCAGATCATAACCTACCGGTGGGATTTGACTTCTACCGGAAAGACTGCAGTGCTAGAAGTAGGGAAGTCTCGTGATAGTTGCTGTCACTTAGGATAAACTTGAGTTACCTGATTTACATGGAGGGGGCTGTAGAGCTGCTCATTTCCCAAGGACTGGGTCAGGTTAAACCTCAAAGACCTGGGGACTCACAGGAAGGTACCTGACCTCCCTGTGGGGCGCATGTTCTCCCCAGCGTGCCCCTAAGATACAGCAGCTGGAGAATGACTAATTCCTGTGTGTCAAAACAGGCAAGATCCCTGCCTGAGGCTCCTTTTGTTCCCAAAAAACACGAGGCTTGGCCTTACGAAAGACTTGCTCAGAGTCTGCTGTGAACACGTGACAAGAAGCTCTGGCTGCAGAGGGGTAGGGAGGTTGGGGGAGGCTCCTCGGGGGGGTGGTGACAAACATCGAGAGCGATATGGGTGAGATCTTTACTAAGAGCTTCCTCTGGGGATCGTCAGAGACTTCCTTTCCTTGAGGCTGATGATGGAGTAGCTGAACCCTTCTGCCCCACCCTAGTTCCCAGGAACCCCGATTGCAGGTATGACGGCAGGGTCAGCACCTGGCTCTTCCTCTGGAACATTTTTAATGCGACAAATAAAAAGTGTATCCAACAGCCCTCTGGCCCTACCCGTCCTTCTGGGACAACCACAGCTGGGAGTTCCCATGACCAAAGATTGTGGCGATGGTTCCTAAAGTTCAGCTGAGAGGCTGCCCATGGCCGTTACTCCTTCAACATAGATATCACAGAATTGTAAAACACCAGGTTGGAATGGACCTCAAGGATCATCTAGCCCAATCCTTTAAGGTAAAGAAATACAGTTTAAGTGACATGGCCCAGCACCCTGTCAAGGTGAACCTTAAAGCTCTCTAAGGTTGAGGAATCCACCACTTCCCTTGGAAGACTATTCCAATGTCTAATTGCTCTAATGGTGAAAAATTTTCCTCTGGAGTCTAATTGGAATCTCCCCAGGAGCAACTTTTATCCATTACCCCTTGTCTTTTCTATGAGACTCCTTGTAAAAAGGGAGTCTCCATCTTCTTGGTAGTCACCTTTTATGTACTGGTGCATAAACTCAAATATCTGGGCGGCTTTATGGAAGACAAACAAGGTAGAGGTTATTCTCCATAAAGTGAGATGTAGCCAAATTCCAGCACAAGAGTGAAGGGACCCAGAGAACTGCTGGCTTGGGCAGCAGCCCCGTGGGCATGGTAAAGCTGATGGGACGAGCGGTGGTTGTTCCAGGAGAGTTCTTCAGATCTGCGTCATCTCTTCCTGAGAGAAGGATGCCTCATTTTGAAGAGGATGCCTAGTGAGCCTGTCCAAGAAGAAGGGTCTGGCTGCAGAACTGAGCTCCTCTAAGTCCCTGTTCACCCAAAGCTTTTTTTCTGCTCCTACTTTACAGTAGGAGCCTTAATTTGCTTGAAGCACTGACTGACTGGATGTGTATGAAACTGTCCCAGGCAATGATTGATTGGGGGGCTGCTAGTAATTTCAGTAAATAATATATTTAAACTGTCTGGTTTATATCTAGGAGCGTGTAACTTGCATATAAGAGTAAATCAGGGATGACTCGTTACAGAGCAGGCAGGACCCAGACCTCATCCTTCAGAATAATCCCTCAAATTGAGTACCTCTAGTGGAGCAAGATCTTTCTGCTGGCTGCCTCCTCGTAACGAGGAGGGGGCTACTAGCAAACCTTTCAGAGGAAAACCCGTGATCGAGAGTTAAATGTTCAAGCTCCTCACCCCTGGTGAGAGCTGGGATGACTTCACTTTGACACAGTTTTTCTCCATCCCGAAAAGTATGTAAAAGGACACTGAGGAGCTTTGTGGGCAAAGCTTTGCAAAACAACTCGCTCACAGGTTTGACTGTGTCAGCAGAAAATAGGTTTTTAGAGGCGAAATTTGCCTCCTATCTGTTGATCGCCTTGAAAGCTCTGATAAGTGTGAGAACTTAGTCACATGGAACATAGATATGTTTTATCTGAAAAAAAGGGTTTCTTACCAAATCCTGTATAAATTCCCCTTTGCCTAGGCTGAGTTGAACTTCACCGTCAAACATGAAGCTGATTTTGATCCTCATTGCCCTCTTCGGGGCTTCCTTTTGCCTGGAAACATTTGTTGGGTGAGTTATGCTTTTGTAGAAGACCTTTTGTTTAAGGCCGTGTTTTCCAGCTGTTCTTTTTCATGACCTTAACTTTACCAAATCTGCCTGGGGCGCGTTCTTTACTTTTCTATGACTGACTTGGCCTTTTCCTCGGGTACTCCGGTGTTTGAAGGAAGCCCTCTCTACTTTCATTCAGGTTTTTTAAGGAGAAGGGTCTGGCTGCAGAGCTGAGCTCCTAAATTCACATTCACCCAAGGCTTCATTTTGATTCTGGTTGTACCTGGGGAGCAATCCCGAGCCTTGATCTGGAGTTGAGCCTTACTGCAAAGCTCGAGCCTGGCACAAAGCAGAGCTCAAAGACCTCACATTGGAAAGCTTGCCAGCTTCAATTTGGTTTTGAAGATTCTCCTTTCTCTTTAAATGCTCAATTCTCTTCAGAGCCTTTCTAAGCTATTAAAATCCTTATTTCCAACCATTCTGTTCTAAAGGGTTATTTGTATGCTGCATTGCAAAATCAACTCCTGGAGTATTTCTTCCATCTTATTGTGTAAGAACCTTAATAAAGAGGATAAAAAACCCAAGCGATACTTCCTGAGATGTAGTAGGTGAGCACCAGAATCCAGTGAATAAATCTGTATATGAAGATGTAAGGACTAAGATTAAGAAATAGTAATAAGATTAAGAAATAATACAAATAGTTTACGAAACCCTGAGGATCTGTAAAGCCAGGAGAAGCCCTTTCAGTCATTTCATCTGGGCTCTGGCATAATGTAGGCTGGATTCTCCTTAATTTACTCCTTAGTCATGTCCAGTAGCTGTAGTTAATGAGTCTCTTCACAGAAGAATCTAGTTGAGAAATAAAGCTGATGGTGACAGAGAATCCAATAATCAGTTTTTAATGGAGTAATGTGCCTTGAGCGTTGATTTAACTTGGTTAAATCCCTTGGCTGAGGGACCTGGTCTTAACAAGCATCTCAGCTGCTAAGGCCATGCTAGTAAATGAACACACATGTCACTTGTCCCTTGTTTACCCTGTTTGAAGGTATATTTCCCAATTTCACAGTTGTCCACGTCAATTTGCTCTGAGTCGTCTCCGTTTTTCAATGCCTCTTGCAGCAGATGCCGAGAGAGCAGCTGGGCCAGGTCGGAGTGTGAGACTCAGTATTTTACCTGGATTGTTGGATTCAAATTTGTCATGTGTTTGAATGATGTTTTTCATGATCTAAAAAGCCCTCAGAGGCTGTCCAGTGGGATCCCTGTGCGTGCAACGCGCAGTCCGAGTGAATCGCAGGGAAAGTTGCCAACTGGCTTTGCCCGGACAGAAAAAAGCTGAAATAAACCCCAAATTTAGTGTTTGGTTTGCTTTGTTGCACAGCGCTCCCCGAGGACCGTTTGCAAACTCAACCAGAGTATTTTTATTCTTTTTGGCGAGTTGCTGATAAAATATAACTGATAGATGCAGGATGGTTAAAAACTCATCGACTTCATGCCTCGTTTTTGATGAAATCTTAAAAATGTAGCTAGTTGCTAATCTAGCGTGCATAGAGCAGGCCGGCCCTGCAGGTTGTTGGTTGAACTCTTGGGTGAGTCAACTGCTTTAAAAAATTTGGTACCAACTCCTTGTAATTGCCTTAAAGAATTTGGTACCAACTGCAAGTAACTACCCACCAAATTAATGATCCCAATAACAAACTACTCCAACCAAGTGCTTTTCAAGACTGTTTCTGAAGAAAACTTATTGATTTATTGCAGGCACCAGGTTCTCCGAATCAAGACAAGAAATGGGGAGGAGATTAAGAAGCTGCAGCTTCTGGAATCGCTGGAGCACCTTGAGGTACATTATTACCACAGAGGCACCTTTTTAGCATTTCAGACTGGGGTAAGACTTATCAGGGTAGGACTTCGCACCGCATTTAAAAGGTTCGTACCACACTGTGGCAGCTGCCCTAAATAAGTTTCAATATTTGGTGTTTGATCTGCAGCTTCTAGCACCAGCCCCGTGTCATATTTTTGTCCTGCTGTGTTTACAATCATCTTTGAACTGACCTGCTCTTAATCTTAGCGTTGAAAAGCTAAAGTGGAGATGCTAATGTCTTCGTGCTTGTCTCCTGGTATTGTGGGAGGAATTTGTTAGTTGGTCTACATTACACCAAAACAGGAAAACACACTCTAAAATTCTAGGTTATTACTGTTCTTATTGGCACCGGTGAGAATTTTTGTTATCGTTTTCTTTTAAAATATTGGTTTGATTAGTATAGAAATTGAAATTATTTCAAAAAGCCCCTACCAAAGGAGAAGTAAAACCAATGGTTTCATCTTACCTAATACTGTAGTACAGAGCTTTTCTTGAAACTATTTCTGGTATAAGGGAGAAGAGGAAAATAATCATCAGAGAAGACTAAAATTTCTTCTTGCTTAAATGGCTGAAGCTCTGAAGTCAGTGATAATGCTGATTTTAGCCTCCTGCAGACCTCTGGTTTGGGGTTTTTTTTGTGAGTTTGTCAGAGTAACTGATGGTTGTGATGAGGCCAGGCTAAGGAACGGAGAGTGCCATAAGCGCGATGGGGCGCAACACCGCGGAATTTGGAAGGAAGCAGCATTCCTAAAGCTTTAGAAGAGCTGCGCTTCCCCCAAACCAAATCCCTTTTCCTTTTCTCTTTTTCAGCTCGATTTCTGGATAAATCCTTCCACCCCTACCCGCCCGGTAGATGTGAGAATCCCTGCTAACAGTGTCCAAGCAGTCAAAGCCTTCCTGGAGTCCCACGGGATTCGCTACTCCATCCTCATTGAAGACCTGCAGGTAGGCAATGCCATTGACACCTATTTACTTTTCGTGAATATTTACATATTTCCCTTATACTTTTGTAGTTTGTGCTTTAATTTCCTAAAGACGAGCTGTGGGTCACAGCTGCCCTGGGAAGCTGCGGAGATCACTCTGCAGACGCAGGCTGAAACCACGTTGAATAGCGACATCAATAACTTCACAGGCTCTGTGGGGCTTTTCTGGTAACCCCCGAGGAATTTCGTGTGGTCTTTTAGCCTCGGGCATCGGGGAATCACAACGACAGAGTTACTCATAAGCCAGTAAACTGTGGTAAGAGTAGTTCAGGATCATGATCTGCAACAACTGTACGTCACTGTGTGAGAGAAAAAGCCACCTGCTCGGGCACTAACCAGACATTTCTTCATCAGCAGTAATCCCCAAATGGCATCTAAAATAGCATTAACTGACCAGAATCACTGCCTCCTGTCTCTCCCCCTCGAGCTTTCCAATGCTATTCTTGTTTTCTCTTAAGAGGTGTTTAAAACTTAATTTAAACACTGGTATTCTCACTCGCTTCGCTGCAGATCCGGTCAGCAGAAGCATGTGCGGGAGGTTTGGGGCTGGGGCTGGCCTTTCCGTTATTTGAGAAAATCATTTGGTCAGAAGTTTGCAAATTAAGGAGGCTTTTCTCCCTTTTGTCCACATTTCAATGGTTTCTTTTAGGTTGTTCTAGATAAAGAAAGGGAAGACATGGCCTGCGGTCAAAGGGATCGCAGCAGCGCCACCTTCAACTACGGAGCTTACCACTCCTTAGATTCCGTGAGTATCTCAGCTCTGGGGGAAGAGAATTCTTTTTTTCTGCCCTTTTTTTTTTTCATGCTGCCTTCAAATGTCTCTCCAGCTTCTTTTTGGCACGGGGTTTTGTTTCTAAATGTATTCATTTTGCGGTCAGCACAACGAGCCAGCACTCTCCCTGACGGACTGTTGGAGCGGGCAAGTGCCCATCATGCTTTTTTCATAAACTCTTCTGCAGAGTTCTCTCAAAACCCTCCCTTCTGACCCTCAAGAGATTGAGAAAGGAATGAATATAGAAATAGGAAAATATAGGAACCCGGTAGCTATCAAGCAGAGGAGAGGGTATTTTTTCTTACTAGAAGTTCTTAAAGAGTGTTTTGAACTTATTCCTGAAATAAGGCGATCTTGACAACATCGCGGTGCTTCCTTCTGCTTTGTGATATTAGGAACGGCACCAACATCAGGTGAAACTGAGTTTGAAGAGGTCCTAGTGATGAGGGCAAAAAGGAGAGAATAGTGGATTTCACGCTGTCCTAACGACTGTTCTGGGCAGTACTACACATAAAGGTGATGTGGATGTCATTGTGACTTTTCATTTCAGATTTACGAAGAACTGGATCATCTTGCGTCCGAGTACAGCACTTTGGTCAGTAAGCTCCAGATTGGGGAATCCTATGAAAAGCGGCCTCTGTACGTGCTCAAGGTACGACGCGTGTCACAGAATTTGTGCACACGTTTATATATCATAGAATCGTAGAGTGATCTGGGTTGGAAGGGACCTCAAAGATCATCTAGTTCCAACCCCCCTGCTGTGGCAGGGACATCTCGCACTAGATCAGGTTGCTCAACGTTTGAGATACAGCATGGTTCAGTCCAAAGCATCCCAGGCTGTACGGGATGTTCTTGACTAACAGGCGTCGATGTGAGTTTTCTAACTTTCCATTTCCTTTTGACAGTTCAGCACCGGAGGAAGCAACCGTCCTGCGATCTGGCTGGATGCCGGTATCCATTCCCGAGAGTGGGTGACCCAAGCCAGTGCCATCTGGATCGCTAAAAAGGTCACTTCAACCGCGATTTGGTTTTTCTTTTGTCTTGGCAATACCTCTGACTATTTAAAAGTCTGTCACACCTGCATTCATTTAGCCAGCCCTGCAGCCTGTTCCAATGCCTCGCCACTCTTTCAGTAAAGAAATTTTTCTTAATAGCTAATCTAAACCTCCCCTAGTGCAACCTGAGGCCATTTCCTCCTGTCCTATTGCTGGTAACGCGAGAAGAGACTGACCCCACCTCACTACAACCTCCTTTCAGGTTCTTAGAGCAGTTGGGAGACGTTTAGGTAGACAAAATGTAGCCGCTCTGGCAAAATCATTGAGGACCGCAGGGCTCATGGTTGTACAAACAACTGAGGATTTTCTGAAGATTAGTTTGCTGCTTTGGTCTGCCAACACAGAGAAGGGCTGTGTCGCTGGTCACCTTGCAGAAAAATGCCAGAACTTCCAGCATTTAAATTCTGCTGAAAATGATGAGGCCGCCAGAGGAGCACAGCGCAGCTGTGTAACCCCAACCCGGCTAATCCATCTCAATGTTCGTGCCAGCCTCGGCCCGTTTTCAGGGACAGGCAGGAGAGAATTTTGTTGCCCTCTTCCATGGATTTCCTGTCTTCAGAATAAAATAGCCAAACTGATTCTTTGCTCTCTCCAGTCTCTGAGTCTAACAAGGAGCAGTCATGGCCAGCAGATAATTGATATTTCTTGTTTCCCTGTCCTGAAAGCCAGACTCGCTCCGTACCCAGCTGTTAGAGCATAAGCGTGCGGGAAGAATATGCTGCAGCTCACGGTGTAACCATATTGTCTCCGCTTAGATTGCCTCCGACTACGGGAAGGATCCATCCGTCACCTCTCTGCTGAACAAAATGGACATTTTTCTGCTGACAGTCTCGAACCCTGACGGATACGTCTTCACTCACACCACAGTGAGTACACGTGCCTGTGCCTCGGCCGATTTAGAAAGCTGTCGTGCTCTTCCAAGCAAACAATAAATGTGGGAGAAGCAGGCTCTGACAGTTCATTTCTTCATGCTGTAAGAAGGAATCACAGAAGGGTTGGGCAGCCAAAGATACTGATTATCATCTAACCCATTTTAACCCGCCGTATATTCAGCAGCCCTTCGACTTTTGACTGTGGGCCTGTCTTGACAGTCAGCCCAACAGTAATAATCTTAGGCTTATACCTGGGATCTTTTCCTGGTGAATGGCAGCTATCTGTGGGTAGCAGTTGTAAATGCGAGGAGATTTGTTCCTTTTGGAAGATTTAGTGTTTGTTTTTTTAGAATCGCATGTGGCGGAAGACCCGCTCCAAGAATCAAGGCAGTCTGTGCGTTGGAGTCGATCCAAACAGGAACTGGGATGCAGGTTTTGGAGGTAGGAATAAAGTTTCTGGATTCTGGCTGTCACTAGGAAGAAAGTTCCCTTTTATGGTCCTGCGTAGAATAATGGAATGGTTTAAGTTGGAAGGGACCTTGAAGATCATCTAGATGGTCAAATAAGCTGGCAGATATCTTTTGTAAAGGCAATTTCACATCGATTAATTGCCAGTGAGCACAGGATGAAGGCAGTGACCCGTATCATCTAGAAGTATGTCCCTTGAGTATTCACGTTCCGATGCTGCTATTTGAACATTTATGCTTTTGGCTGACGGCCCATTTTTAGGAAAACTCAGCTTCGTCTTGGTCTGCTTTGACCTTTCATAAATGCCAGATCTTACAGGTTTCCTTTTGTTCCTCCTTTGCACCAACAGGTCCCGGAGCCAGCAGTAATCCCTGCTCTGACTCTTACCACGGTCCCCATGCCAACTCAGAGGTGGAAGTTCAATCTGTCGTCAACTTTATCAAGAACCACGGAAACATACAGGCCTTCCTCACCCTCCACAGTTACTCTCAGCTCCTGATGTATCCCTACGGCTACAAATGCACCGAACCGGCAGACCGCGACGAGCTGGTGAGACCTAGTGACTTGCCTTTAGCTTCCTCTGTTCTGCCAGGCTGGTTTTCTGTACCCAAGTTTTCCGGCGTGATATCGGGATGAAAGCAAGTGGCTGAACTCCACCACCGATGAGAGTGAACAAAAGCCCCTGCAACTCAATGCTTTTAAAAGAGAAATCTTGGTCATATGCAAACATAGATTGGATCCATGGGTCAATGTTAACAGTGTGAGCTTCAGCAAGGCCAAGGGACAGGTCCTGCCCTTGGGCCACAACAACCCCGGCAGCGCTACAGGCTTGGGGCAGGGTGGCTGGAGAGCTGTCGGGCAGAAATGGACTGGGGGGTTCTCAGCAACAAGTGGCTGAAGATGAGCCAGCGTGTGCCCAGGTGGCCAAGAAGGCCAACAGCATCCTGGCTTGTGTTAGACACAGTGTGACCAGCAGGAGCAGGGAGGGGATTGTCCCCCTGTGCTTGGCACTGGGGAGGCCACACCTTGAGTGTTGGGTCTAGTTTTGGGCACCTCCTCAACCCAGAGATCTCGAGGGACTGGAGCAAATGCAGAGGAGGGCGACGGAGCTGGGGAAGGGCCTGGAGGATAAATCTGATGAAGAATGATTGAAGGAGCTGGGGCTGCTGAGTTTGAAGAAGAGGAGGCTGAGGGGAGACCTCATCGCTCTCTACAATGACCTGACAGGATGTTGTGGAGAGGTTGGGGCTGGTCTCTTCTCACAGGTAATGAGCGATAGAACCAGAGGGAACGGCTGCAAACCGCAACAGGGCAGGGTCACACTGGGCAGGAGGAAAATTTTTTTCTCCAGAAAGAGTGGTCAGAGCTTGGCACAGGCTGGCCCAGGAGGGGGGTTAGTACCCACAAGGTGTTTAAAGGCCGTTGAGATGTGGGGTTGGGGAAGATGGTTTAGGGGTGAGCTCTGTAGAGTAAGGTCAGTGGTTGGACTTGATGATCCCAGGGGGCTTTTCCAGCCTGAGTGATTCTACGATTCTGTGTGCCCTCCCCACCCAAACCTCAGCCCTCTTTGCTCCTTTGTGCTTCCTTCTTTCTGCTTCGATGACAGCATCGCAGCTGTAGGAACATCTCTGAGGTACTACAGATCTCACAATCACAACTCAAGTGGAAAAGACCTCTGGAGGTCTCTAGCCTAACCCTCTGCAGAAAGCAGACAGGTTTTGGAGTCAGAGCCAATATCGAGGTTGGATCAGCTCACTTTGAGCCTTGCCCACATGTGTTTTGGTTAAATGCGTTGATATTTCTAAAGAGAAATTCCACAGCTTCTTCAAGCCCTTCCCAAACTTTCCCCACTGTGATGGGGATTTTCTTTTTCCCTAACACCAAAATGCAATTCCCCATGTGGCGATTTGTCTGTCATCACTTGTCCTTTCTCTCTACACCCCCAAGAAGAGCCTGGCCCTGTTTTCTCTGCAACAACCCGTTACGTTGCCGAAGTGACCTCAAAGCTGACTCCTGGCTATTGAAAGATCTCCATTTGCTGTGGGATTTTCTTGTATCTCTTGAACCTTTCCTTGGCAAGACAGTCAGGGCGATGAAACATTGGATGACCAGATATAGAACCCGCTCTGATTTAATTCACCTCCCAAAAATATCGTGGACACTGAGTGCTGTCACTAGTATGAATGATTAAGAAATTAATTGATTTGGCCCTATTTTACTGAGGGGGAGTGGGTGAAAGACTGGAGATTTTGTGAAAGATTGTGGTGATTTTCCTGAGCGTGGTTTTCAGTCTCATGAGGCTGCTTTCTGAGTCATCCTTCATCTTCTCCTCTCCAGGACGCCTTGGGAAGAGCTGCTGCCAGTTCCATCCAGTCCCTGTACGGCACCACCTTTACAGTGGGGAGCATTTGCACCACTATCTGTGAGTATTTTGCTCATCTGAGCTTTTACGGCCTGTCCCAGGACAACAGGCTCTGTCTCCTTCCCCCAAGGTCTTCTCCCTGTTGGGAGCCGTGATGCTTCCATAAAGTGACACCACTGGGCAAATGTCAGAGCTGAGCATCTGCGTAAAAACATGATGCTTGTCCCTCATGAATACAAAAAGTAGGAGAGCAGGGCTCAGATCAAGCCTCTGTTCACCCCTCTGGCTCTCCTCCCTTTCTCTTTCAGACCAAGCCAGTGGAGGCAGCATCGACTGGAGCTACGATTACGGCATCAAATACTCTTTTGCCTTTGAGCTGCGTGACACGGGGCGCTACGGGTTCCTCCTGCCAGCCAGCCAAATCATCCCAACCGCAGAGGAGACCTGGCTGGGTCTGAAAACGATCATGGAGCACGTGCGAGACAATTCGTTCTAAAAGCTGGGCTGGGAATCAGCTGCCTGTAGCATCAAGCTCATAAAACCTCTTCCCTGGCTGAATAAAGACCCTGTGTGCGTTCGTTCCTCCTGCAGCAGTACGTGTCCACATATAAAAAGCATTTAATGCTTCTCTTCTTCCCTGCGTCTTGTGGTAGAAGCCCTTAGAAGATTTTAGGACTTGGTCATGGTCCACCTCAATGAGACACAGAAATGCTTGTCCCATAGGTCGTGGCTGCTGCAAACCCTCCTGCCTTGCGCTCTCGGCAGCTCCACCTTGATCACCAAATGCGAAATGCGGCGTTAGCAGCGTGTTGTACCCCTGCAACTCCCTCCCTTCGCAGCCAGCCCTCTCACCAGTGCAGAAACGGGCTCCCAGAGCTGGGAGGGAGGTTTTTCTGAACTATTTCTGAAATTCGTGGATTGCAAGTGCTCTGAACTTCAGAGCTTTCTGAGGTGCTGGAGTGATCAACTGCATCATCTAATGAGTTAACTGCTCTGCTACTGCAGCAAAGCTACGGCTTGGGGGATTGCCTGAGCCTGCCTCACCCTCCTGTGACATCCAGCAGCCATATAGACAGGGGAAAAAATTCTTTTTTTTGGTACATAACAGCTCTGTGTTGCTGCTCTGGGGACTCCGACAGAGCGTCTGGGGGCAAAATGGGCAGGTGCAAAGGGCCTGACGTTAAACAGCAAAATGCAGGCTATGAGACTTATTAAAGGAATTTAATTTCCTTTAATGAACCTTGGGATGCTACCAGCCCACCTGCTGATGGTGGGAGAGGGATCTCCTGGCCTAACGTCCCCACGTATTTGTCCTGCCCCTTTTCTCCTTCGCAGGTTTGCCCAGTGGGCACGGTTAGAGGGAGGATGGAGGTGGGAGAACCTGGCACGACCAGTCCATGATCCCTCAAGATCCCACCTCCCTCGTTCTGTTGTTCAGCCTGCTCATTTCTTGGGGATTAAAAGCAAAGAGCCCAGGGCCGTGCGCAGGAGCTTGGAGATTAGCAATCCCTGCTGCTTATCAAGTCTAACAGGTTTATCTCGATGTCCCGCCATCCCCTCAGCAGCTGGTGAGTTACTCACTCCTCCACGAACTTGGCAGGAGAAGCAAACACAGCTGACACAGGTGAAATGTTAGTTCAGACTCAAAGGCCACGAGGCTGTTGGCAGGCAAAGGAAGGTGAAAGAGCAGCCGAGGCATCAGGGAACACCATGACGGGTTTGGGTGAAGTGCAGCCGTTTTGGAAAATGAATTCGAGCGTCGGGCAGCTGGCGGTCCCCATGTGTGCCCCTGTCCTCTCCGCTCATGGCCCTGTCTGATGGCACCTGCTTCTCAGATTGACCCACCCTTCCAAATTCCTGTCCTGGTGATAAAAACAGCCCTGGTAAAACCCTCTGATGGGGAGGGCCCAGGGCACACGTGGATCCAACCCACCTGCTGCCACCTGAGTGGGAACCTTGTGCTTGTTAACCTGTGGCCTCGCCCTGGCTTTGAAGCTCATTCCAGCCATCCAGGTCTTGAGGCCACCTCGTTCCTCTTCTTAGTGTGTGGCTTGGTGACATCTGCATCCAGTTTTTGGACCCCTGGCACTAAAGAGGTGCAGAGCAAGTGCGATGGAAACCACCAAGAGGGACAGGAGGATGTGTCCCGCTGATGGGATGCACAGAATCACAGAATCACCCAGGTTGGAAAAGATCTTTGAGATCATCGAGTCCAACAATTAACCTAAAACTGGCAAATCCTTGACTAATTCTACCCGACTCTTAACCACCTCCAGGGGTGGGGACACCACCACTGCCCTGGGTGGCCTGTTCCAATGCCTCAGAACCCTCTCAGTAAATAGATTTTTCCTAATATCCAACCTGAACTTCCCCTGGTGCAACTTGAGGCCATTTCCCCTTGTTCTATCACTTGTTTCTTGGGAGGAGAGACCGACCCCCTCTGGCTGCCCCCTCCTGCCAGGGAGCTGCAGAGAGCGATGGGGTCTCCCCTCAGCCTCCTCTGCTCCAGCTGAACAGCCCCAGCGCCCTCAGCCGCTCCTCCCCACACGCGTTCTCCAGCCCCTGCCCCAGCTCCGTTGCCCTGCTCTGGACACACTCCAGCCCCTCAAGGTCTTTCTTGTTGGGAGAGGAGAGGAGAGGAGCTGGTTTGGCCTGGAGGTGAGGCAGCTCTGGGGTGGGAGGACCTCACAAAGACACTCCCATATCTTGAAGAGGTTATTGCGAAAACAGCCAAGCTCTTCACTGCAAAGCGTGATGGGAGAGACAACGGCATCAGCTGAAGAAAGAGCAAGCCAGGCTGGATGTGGGAAGATGCTTTTCCACCAGGAGGACAGACCAGCAGTGGGACACATCACCCAGACGGGCGGTGCAGCCTCCACCCTTGGAGGACTCCAAAACCCAATGTAGAGGGACATGCTTTACCCCCAGAGCTGACCTGGCTTCATCCAAGAGGTCGGATACAGACCTCCTGTGTTCCCTTCCCACCTCAACTACCCCATGATGATGCCTCAGCGAGGAACCTCCACCCTGGCACCAGTGGCCGGGACCAGCTCACCAGCATCACCGGTTCTGCATTGTGAAGCCATAACAGACCCGCCCCAACCACGGGCACCTTCCCTGCTGCTCACCCTGCTGTTGTTGCGACCAGCAAGACAACCTGGTTTCAATGGGGAAAAAGCCCAGATAAAAGCTTTTTGCTAAAATACCGACTGAGATGATGTCTGCCAGCCTGGGAACCCAGCCCGGGAACCAGGAGCATCCCTGACAAGCGCGGGCGGGAGCTCAGGGCTATCGTAGATAAGAGCACAACAAAGACGCTGCTATAACCTGGGGAACAAAGACACTGCTATAACCTGGGGAACAAAGAAGCCACTATAAGGAACTGACCTCCTGAGACAGCAAAAGTCAGCAACGACTGCTCCAGGAGCTCCTGTCCTGCACCCCCTCATGTGTCTGCACTAAAGACATAAAAATAACTCACTTCTGACCCAAAACCAAGACCCTCTTTCTCTCTCTCTGAGGTTACCCCCAGGTGAACATCCCTGGGTGACCCCTCAGACTCTCCTCGGGGACGCCGGGCTCCAGGACACCCATCGTCTTTGAAGTGAGACTTCATCCGTCGTCATCTGGCCCCACTCCTGCGAGCGGTTTGCTGGACAGCACTGGTAATACCTGAGTGCCGTATTTTGAATTTTATATGTAGATATAGATACGCCTACAAGTAACTAATCATGTAGGTGCTTACATGCTTGCTTTTCTGCTAGTAATTTTGTAGTAGCTTGCAATAGATGTTTACTTTACTAATCGTAATTAGAATCGACTCAGTAACCTGTAATAAAGAAATTCACGGGAACAAAAGTCCATGTCCTTGTGTACTTTGAGGGTCCTACGACCCCACGATCGTCACCGTCCCATGCCCGCGGCTTGCGTGGTGACCATGACCGTGACACCTACGAGCACCAAGCTGGGCGCTCGGGCTCACGTCCTCCCTGGCGGGACCTGAGCACTGAGGAAGACCTTTTGAGATTCTCCTTAATTTGGCTGCTTTTTTATTGACTTTGCCAAACAGAGCGAACATTTGGGCTCCTGTGAGCCGTTCCTGGCTAACCTGTTTGTCACCACCAGCTCCGTGGGGACAGCAAATGTGGCTTTGGCGAGAAGGTCCATGAGTGTCCCCTGGAGCGCTGCGTAGGGGGACTATCCACAGCTGAGGCTCATCCACGTCCGCTCACCATGAAGATCCCCCTGGTCTTCGCCGCCCTCGTGGCAGCCGCCTGCAGCGAGCAGCTTTTCGTGGGGTGAGTCCTGCCGAAAGCAGGGAGTAGGGAGGGACACCCCGGGTGGGGACAGTGACGGCTTGGCCCCATCCACTCTCCTTTGGGGTCAACGAGACGGGGGTGACGTCGCGGAGGAGGGAAATCCAACAGCTTTTGCTGTGTGGAGCACCGGGAAAGATGTGGTTTCACCTCAGCTTTGGAGGGAGGATTTTGAGCATGCAATGGGTAGAAATTAGGAGATATTAAACCCTGAAAGCATCACGCCAAGCTTTGTCAGGGGAAGGGCTGACCCAGGATGGGGAAAACCTTTCTATGGGGGAACAAGGGGAGAGCGTTCCCTTCTCTGCTGGGGGCTGTACCCATCCCCAGGGGAG